CCTGTAGGTACTAAGGAAGTAGATGCGAAGGAGGTGTACAGTGCCAGGAGACGCAATGCCTGCCTCAATGGTTACACTCGGCACCTTGGGGGATCTCGCCTTCGCCAGCCAACCCAACCGATACGATCCAATGTTCGAGAAGGAATTTCGGGTTGGATCTGTTGAAGAGATTTAAACGATGGAGGGGGACGCACAAGGCGGGGAGCACGGGGGGTTGCTACCTACCTGACCATTGGGACAGACCAGAACCTTGAGAAGGGAGGCAGGTGGTGGTGAGTGGTCAGCGGTGCCTTCCACTCCTCCCATTATGGTTGCTCGGACTTGTTTCCCCACGTCATCGCCTACCTTCGGCTATCCGCGGGAGGGGTAACATGGGAAACCGAGAATGGAAGGGACAACTGACAGTGGAGGGAAAGAAGAGATGGCGATAACACTGGCTCCCAATTCCGCTCTTTGCCCTGGTTGATAGTGGAATTCTCTCCTCCAAGGCAAGTAAGGTACCTTACGTGAGGTACCTAGGTAAGTAAAGTACCTAGGTACCTCAGCTGCACGCATCTCAACAACAACAATTGGAACAACCTCGACGACATCTTGGCGACGAACTTGACGATGTGAATTCCGCACTCTCCTTTCCGCCGTCATGTTCGCGAATCGCGAGGTCGCGAGGCCAAGTGCGCACTTACGACTCATCCTCCCAAGGAAGACAACGCCATCATCACCGGGGATCACCTCAATTGATTCGATCGGCCGCATCAAAACCCTGTCTGGCGGCTGGCCATGTCAATAGTCATCGACTCAAAGGGTAAAAAGGGCGAACTGGACATGTAGGGCGCGATTGATTATTGCGATGTCGGACCTCGCCCATGTCCATCCCCTGAACATGACAACACTTTCGCTGCACCCGGAATGAGCTTATCGGGTAGCTGATGTATTCGGAGTCATTGTTTGGTGCGATTGAGCAAGATTTGAATGAGACATCAAAACAACATCTACACTAGCCGAACTCCAAGTCGGATGCTGAAGCCATGCACACCACGGTACATACACTATACTACCAATGGCCTTGGGGGTGCAATACCGTTCGGCTTCGGACCGCGCGCACCAAAGCCGCAATGGGGCACAAGGACGTCGACCGACTGGAGCCGTGCCCGGCCGACGGCTTGTGGTGGGACAAACTGGAGGTGCATCGCCTTCTCGTACAGCATTCCCTCCCGTCAGGCAGTTCCCTGCTTCACCTTTGGACCGGCGCTGCTACTGCTGCTGCTGCTGCTGCTGCTGCTGCTGCTGCTGCTTGCTGCATTGCATTGCGTTGCGGTGTACGACGGCATGTACCTGACGCGCCATTGACTAAAAAATCACCGCCCGACGAATGGGCGGCCGCGGCTTGACCTCTTGTTTCGTCACGGATTTTTTTCCCCATCATGTCCCTTGCAACAAGTCGCATCTTTTGCTGGTCTTCAAACGCTGCGCAATCACGGCAGTATTGCTTGTAGCCATCTCGAGGTGGGATAGCCCCGGCTCTAGCGGATAACTGTGGGATCTGAATTTTCTTTCACTTGTCTTGTTTTCCTTCTTTTTGCCATCCGCAGACTCGGATTGGTAGTCTAGCAACTGGCTTATCTCTGAAGAACGGCATGTCTGTGTGGGGACTCGAGCAGCAAGACAATCCTTCCTCGATCAAAGGACGGGCTTCGATTCGATCATCGCCCGACGCACCGGCAAAAGCTGGAAAAGCGAGACATGAGATGAGATGTGAGAGAAACAGTCCCATCCCATCCCGGATCCCCCAAAGTTCAAATCGCTGCCACCGACGCTTCACAATTGCTCACGCGCTGGTGGGTCCCGGCCCGGCTCCACTCCATCGAAGAACAGAAAAAAGAAAAAGAAAAAAAAGTACTCGGGCTCGGCATTGCCATCCCTCGACGTTGAACACCGGCACAACGCTCTCAAGACTTGCTATCCTGTAATATGGTACAGAATAACAAGACAATGGCGGAAGGAAAACCCCAAGGGGCTTACGGCGTCGCCTCCATCTGGCGACCTTTCCGCATGTGGATCCCCGGGCAAGCGACGGCATACCAAGGACAAAAAGCCATGCAGCGTATCGGCCGCCTTGGCTTGAAAGTTCCAGTCAACCATCTTCCCGTGGTCCACCATCCATCCATGATCCATCCATGACTTGACTAGGGCATGGATCAATTCCTGAACCGTTGGCGTCTGCTGGCCTCTTTTCTTACACGCATCTGGTCTACTTCGTGCCCTCTGGCAACCACCCATGGAACCAACCCGACGGAGTATCCGTACCCAGCAACCACTTCAGACGGACGGGTTTGCTTGCTCCCTTTCTTTCTGTGTGCATGTATTCGTACTACCTTACCTTACATCACACACCTTCAGGTACTCTGCTAGGTACCGGACAGACAAGAGTCGTCTTCCTCCCCTTACCCTTCCCACCCCATCCACATCCATGCTCCATGCACTGCACAGGTCAAATTCTCCATGATGCTCCCTGTTATCTGAAAACGCCCTTTCCAAGACCGGACCCGCTGCCCCTCTGCATTGGCCCTTGAGTCACCTGCTCCATCTGTCACTAGAACCTTGAGCCAAGCCAAACTGTGACAAACCCGTCCTACTTAAGCTCTTGCCGTCACTCCTACAACTTGACCCCGTGGCTTTGTTCTCTTCCTTCTCCATCTTAAGCCGAAACTCTTTCCTCCTTGTGTCTTGTCTCTTATATACACACATATTGCTTGTGTGTTTTCTCTCGCCAGCGCTACCTGTTACTTTGCTCAAGTAACCACAAATCGGACCCCTCGACCCCGCCAACTCCGAGATTCTTCATATATCCCACCACGCCGTCTGTCACGCAAACATCAGACTCATATCGACAATCACAATGGCTCCCGGCACCATCTCCCCCGGTCTGCACCATGGCAACCAGGATATCGATCTGACTTCCTCCGCCATTGAGCACAAGCTCGAGGCCATTCCCAACGGCAAGGCTTCCAACGGCACCAAGCCCGCCTACCAGGAGCTCGATGCCTCCAAGCTCACTTACACCCGCACCCAGAACCCGCGTGCCGTCCCCGATCCCGCCACCGCCAATGCCGGTTCCGAGACCATCGCCACCGACCACATGGTCGCTGCCACCTGGAAGGTCGGCACTGGCTGGTCCACCCCGGAATTGAAGCCCTACGGTCCCATCTCTCTCATGCCGACTGCCTCCGTCCTTCACTACGCCACCGAATGCTTCGAGGGTCTCAAGGTCTTCCGCGGCTTCGACGGCAAGCTTCGCCTGTTCCGCCCCGACCGCAACTGCGAGCGCATGCTCATGTCCTCCACCCGCATCGCCCTGCCCTCCTTCCCTCCCGCCGAACTCGAGAAGCTCATCACCGCCCTCATGGCTGTCGATGGCCCAAAGTGGCTGCCCCGCGAGCGCCCCGGCTCCTTCCTTTACCTCCGCCCTACCATGATCGGAACCCAGCCCCAGCTCGGCGTTCAGGCACCTTCCGAGGCCATGCTCTACATCATCTGCACCTACATGCCCGTCATGGACTCTCCCGTCGGCGGCATGAAGCTCCACACGAGTCCCGAGGATATGGTTCGCGCCTGGGTTGGTGGATTCGGCTACGCCAAGGTCGGTGCCAACTACGGCCCCTCTCTGCTGGCTACCGTTGAGGCCCGCAGCCGTGGTTTCGGCCAGATTCTCTGGCTGTACGGACAGGAGCAGTACTGCACCGAGGCCGGTGCCAGCAACTTCTTCGTTGTGTGGAAGAATAAGGAGACCGGCAGGACAGAGATCATTACCGCGCCCCTCGACGACAGATTGATTCTCGATGGTGTCACGAGACGCAGCGTTCTTCAGCTCGCCCGCGAGCGTCTTGGCGACAGCGTCGACATTGTTGAGCGCAGATACACCATTGATGAGGTCATCCAGGCTCACGAGGAGGGCCGCATCGTCGAGTCCTTTGCCGCCGGTACTGCCGTAAGTTTTGGTCACTGCTTTCTCTCGTCGAAAAGACATACTAATCATATCCCAGTTCTTCATCTGCCCCATCTCCCTGATCCACCACCGTGGCAAGGACGTCAACATGGGCATGGGCGGCGAAGGCGTCGGTGGCGAGTACACCCTCCAGATCAAGAAGTGGATGAAGGACATCATGTACGGCGGTGAGCAGCACAAGTGGGGCGTCGTCGTCCAGGAGGAGCAGTAGATGGTTCTGCTCAGAGGAAGAAGAGGAAGAAAAATGATGAGGAGGCATGGGTAAAGAAACGGCATCAGCCTCGGTCTGAAAACGACCGGGGTTCGGGTTATGAGATTCAGACATGGCTAGGGCGTTGTATGGCATTTTGCACACCAAAAATCGGCGTTTGCATTGGGGTTTTTACAAGTACCAGAAGAAGCGGTGCATGGTTTGGTAAACTTAGAGTATTTCCTACCTTGGCATCAAAATTCACATCATGAATATGATTATTAGAGATGTTCTCTTTCGCTTGATTATCATCGAGGTGCAAAAAGCTTGCTTTGGAAAAATGTAAGCTGATTGTACTTAAAACACCCCACCTGATCTCGCACGAAGGTTGAATCACTCACAAATTTCATTTCCCCTGGTATATTGCCTCAGTGATGAAAGAACGCTATGAGGTGATTATAGAGCATAAATGTGATCACGAAGCCGCTTTTTACTAGCTTGGCAAGTTCGATTTCTCTATGATGATAAGTTCATTTGGCAACTGCATTATCAAAAGTGAAGCTTAGCATACTCTATTGCTTGATCGGCCACGTAGTCGGTATCCAGAGAACCCATGGCATGAACGTGTTTGTAACTTTGTTCCTTGAGTCCCCTCCGATAAGTATATAACCATTAACAACCAACAACAGCTCACGTTCCCGCCCAAGACTGCAAAACTAAGTCAAAACACATACAGTGGTCCCTCAAGCTTGGAGAAAAAAGCACAACTTGCATCTTCCATCACTCCCAACTCCTTTTCCCCAACTTTCAACCCCCCCTGCTCCCACCACCACCACACTCCTGCCTCTTCCCAAACCCTTCCGTCTCCATCTCGTACTCCGGCGGGAACCGCGCATTCTGGCGCTCAATCATGTCGGCGGCATCGTATAGATCCGCCTGCCTCTCGTCGACGGTGCTCCCGACGGGGTGTTCCGCTTCGCTGTTGAACATGAAGAAGGTGTTTGGGGCTGGCGCCGCCTTGCCGACGGCGCAGTTTGTGTCGGCGACGACCTTGTTGTTGGCGTCGGCGCAAAATACTTTTCCTGCTGAGGCGCCGCGGGCGCTGAGGAAGGCGAGGGCTGCGGTTTGGAGGCCTGGCAAGGTGATGTGTTGGCTCTTCATTGTTGCTAATTTGTTTTTTCTTGTGGTTTATTGTGCGTCTTTTTTTTTCTTTTTTTTCCCCCCCTCTCTGAAGGAATGGATTTGACGGCGTCTGGTGACTGGGTAGCTGGGTGAATTGAGTGATGTGAGATATCGTGTAAGTGCAAAGAGACGAAAGTTGGATTTTAAGGGAGTGACTAAGAGCAAGGCATTTGAGGAGATTCGACATAGAGCTGAAAACGAATCGCAGTCGTGGAGGAATCTAGAAACAGATACTTATAACCATCATCTCTTCTTACATGAAGTGATCTTCATCATCTCGAATAACCTCAATCAACTATGCTTTGAGTATAGTATCAAACCCTTGAAGCTGACTCGCCTCTAATAGCAATGGTATAACTCTGTAGAATTGAATACTCATCGGCCGAAAATTGTTCTTAAGGGGATCTCGTGGGCTGTGAACGACATTCGGAGCGTCCGGACTCTGCCAAGACCGCCGGCGAGTTCGAACGGGCGCATATCATATACGAAGATCAACCTATGGATAGATACCGTCATTTCATTCCACTTATTCTAACTCGCGGGGGATAAACAACGTCGGGCAGAAGAACACAAATGACAGGGCAGAAAATATGTACCAGAATTTAGACTTTGCTTTCGCTCGTAGTTCCCAAGCACTCGGATTCAGGCACACATCGGCGGTGTCAGTGTTCGTCTCATAACTCCGAGAGCCGAAAGTTTGACAGGGGATGCCAGAGAACCAGCAGTTTGACTAAGCTTATGCCAAGCGTGTAACTAAAGTGCTTCACACTTTCTCACGTCATTCATCGTCCACGACTCACGACGGAGAAAGATCATCATCGCTTTTGATTGAGCCAAGATAATTCTAAACAAGTGCTTCTATTCCTACTAGTCGGAACAACCATGATGCTCATTTCCATCACGTTAAGTGAAGCCTTGGAAGTCTATAACTCTATATGTCCGTTACTGATCAACACTTGACCTAATTATTGTGGTCAGTTCATACACGTATAGAAGCTTTCAAAAACCTGAATCAGTTTAAGATGGAATACTTGAGGAGAATACTTATTAAGACTTGCAGTTCTCACTTTTGATAGCCATTGCTCAGCCCCCCAGCTTCGTTTACCACGGAATTGTCACTCTTTTCATTTCCTTCCAAATTCGTGCCATACTTCTCCTTCGCAATCAACTTTTTTTTATTTATAGAACTTACACGTTAAGTAACCATCATCGTTACTTAACCACAGCCTGCTCTTCTCTCACAGTAAGGATTCAGCCCTGAGCCACTTGCACCTATCAACTAACATCCTACCCACCCAGATGCGTCTCTCACCAATCATCTCAACCATTATCCTAGCCGTCGGCCTCGCCCAAGCCCAAAACTGCGTCGAGAACGGTCCCACAGGCGACGCCATCACCGGCTTCAGGTTCTCGGGGACATGCGAATCCTGGCAATGGTTCTCGCGCGATAAAGGCACGCAGGTCAACCTCCAGCCGGACTGCTTCCTACGGCAGACGTTCCCCAACGCTACGCCTGTGGGCCACGTGTGTATCCAGCTCGAGAGCGGGGGCCACAAGTGCTTTTCGGCGCCGGGGGCGGGGGCGCCTCAGTGTAGGGTCCCGGATGACTTTTGTTCGGGGATTCAGAATATGTGGGGGTGGTGAGAGGGCTGATCTCATGCAGTATTGCTGTTTTTGTTCGTCTCAAGCTAGGCGCAGCGATGGTAGAGGGATTGAAACAGTTTTATGAGTTGTAACTACGTGTAGAAAGTTTCGCTATCCGGGAGGTGGTCCACCTAGTTTCGATACCGGCCGATCAGAGTGGGTCTCCCGGTGCGCACTTACCGGGCGCCCACTTGAGTGCGACCGGCAGTTGCTTACATCAATCGCCAATCACGAACATCTACAATGGACTATTAACCATGGAACTCTCACCATTGACATGTACAGTCATCTTGTAAAAGCCCCAATACGACTGGGCACAATAGCAGCTTTTCTCCCCATCTAACGTGGTCGGGTTGACTGTCATAGTTCCACCTTCTCTTCTACCGTCAGGTTCATACTAACATTACCGTGCTTAACGAATCATTCCTTTCTTACATTGTCCAGATATTCCGTAGAAGCATTCCCTGCCGGCTGACGTGTCCAGAACATAGTAACCGATAGTCCAGACCTATGTCACTATCGGCTCAAGTACACGCAGAGATCGGTCTCAGGCGGATTCGTGCCGTACTCGAAGAACATCTCACTAACCCAACCTCGATGGTAGGTCTTATGGTTGATAATATGCAGAAACATGCCGCCCACATTCATCTCTGCAGGTGTGCCGTTGACGTAATTGAATTTGGATCGCTTGCTGAAGCTGTTCTCATCTTGCCTGGTCGCCCAATCGATGTACCAGTGGTTGACCTCGAACTGCTTTTCGACCAACTCGTCAAATTTGGGGTATAACAGATCACGCCGGGTCGAAAAGACGTGGTCCTCTTTGAGTATATGCGCACGCCAGATCAGGTCGACCTGGTGATTGTGGTTGAGTGTGCCCATCATGGACTTGAAGAGAGTTGTGCGCGGCTGATAGACCGCCCCGGACGGCAGCTGTTTTTGGATCGCTGCGAAAAGTACTTGGTCGGCCCAGTTATTGTATTTGGCCAGCATGACAGCCGTCTCCTTCGTGAGCATTGCGCGCGTTGGTCTGCTGTGGGATTTGCAGCAAGGTTAGCAGGGAGAAAAAAAGAATATTGGTGGTAGATAATGTGATCTTGACTTCCCCGTCGGCACAGTGTGGTTATATAGCGCTAGGCCTCACGAAAGGATCCAGCCGACAAACCGTGAACGATACAAATTGGATTGCCTAGAACGCATGGGGCCGGTGGGGGTACAGAACATTTTGCTTTACTTTCCAGCTTTCACCTTCTCCTCGTGTTTGCTTTGTCATCTTCCCTCGGACTTGCCCCTCTCATGACATAAGGAGATACGGCGCCTAGATGTAAGCTTTACATGGATGGACTGCTAAGTATGACGCGAAATTCGCCCACGTGCAGGCGGCGAGGAGCCTTTTTTGTTGGTTCGTCGGTTCCATTCCAATCTGTTCGCTGAATGGGCCGGCGGCTTGACTATGGTGGCTTGTTACGCCTCGGCAGCCGCCGGCCAAATCGATTGTGAGGTACTTAATGCGGGATCACTCGTGAATCAGCGGCTTCACTTCTATCGAACGATCAGTACGTTCGGGACTCGGTCAACCTCAGGGCTTGGCCCTCCATGTTAGAGGCAACTCAACGTAAGTGACATGGCACATGACCCCTTCTAGGCCAAGGGATAGAATCTGGCTTGATAGTTTCAGACGAGTGAGACAGTACATGCAGTCTCTGAACTACATACTAACGAACAATATTTTAGAAACCAATATACCATGAGTTCATTCGAAGATTCTGACAAAATAACGGCGATGGCGGCAGATTATCACATCTCTGCACGCGGCGCTGAAGGCTTGGTTTTACGAGATGTTTGGGGCCCCCGAGAGAAGTCCATGGGCAACCCGAGGACTCCAGAAAACCCCAATGGGACGCAAGTAGCCATGATTCTCACTCCTTTCGTCATAACTTACACTCTTAGTGTCATCCTCCGCCTAGCTGAGAATAGTCTGATGCACAATGAGATTGGGGATTTTATTAAACAAGAGGTAAAACCTAAACCTTGCCAAGATGATTCATCTCTGGGATCGAAACGTGTAGGTCACCGTTCTTCCAGTCAATCACTTGACTTATAGCACTGAACCACGAGGTTCACACCGCCTCCGCCTTGCAGCCGCGAACTTTTTAACCGACGAATTCAAGCCCAGAAAACCTCTTGGTATTGGTAATATTCTCATCACCCCAGGTCTGGCTAGTGCTATTGATGCACTGGCTTGGACTTTCTGCGATGAAGGAGATGCTGTATTGATTCCACAGCCATTGTACAACGGCTTAAGGTCGATATACTAAACCGTAGTAACGTTCAAGTGATTGGCGTTTCCTACACTGGAGTTGAAGGATACACGACGCTTGACGATTTATTCGACCCCGAAGTCAACAGGAAAGCCATAACCAGGGCACTTAATAGAGCCAAAAGTAACGGTGTCAAAGTCAAGGCTCTGTTAATTTCCAAGTCAGTTGCGGATCCTACGTTTCTCTGTGAGCAGGAAGGCGAGAGAATATTCACAGGCCCGTAGCCCTCATAACCCTCTAGGAAGATGCTACGTTTGTCCTCCTCAGTCCAAATTCTTTCAGGCCCTAACTGCAATAGCCACCCGAGACCTTGAAAGTATTCGCCTCGGCATGTGGCCAGAACGACTTACACTTCATCTCTGATGAGATCTATGCCAAGTCAACATTCCAAAATCCGGCCATTCCCGACGCTGTCCCTTTCCTATCAACACTCTCTCTTGATTTTAGCGGGATTCTTGACGAGACTCGCCACCATATCCTCTACGGCGCTAGCAAGGATTTCTGCGCCAACGGCTTACGTCTTGGACTTGTGTGTGCCAGGAACGAGGGGGTTATGGGAGCGCTATCCAGTATCAGGTATGTATGCCCGCCAGACCTAGATGAGACGAGTCATCTAACTATGACAAAAGTATCTTCTCATGGTCACCGCACCTCATCCAGGATGTGTGGGCTGCTATGCTAGAAAACAAATCTTGGCTCGCTGCGTTTACATTGGAGAAAGCAAAGCGCATGGTTGTTAACCACCGTATCACAACCTCATTTTTGCACGAGCATAAGATTCGGTATTTCGACACGTAAGTATGGCAGGTGAGATAATTCGGAAACGCTAGACTAATCATCCTGTGTAAAGAAATGCTGGGCTCTTTATTTGGGTAGACCTTCGACATATGATCACGTCGCCAGAGGACTCGCAGCATCAACTCATGCTTGACCCCTTGGACGTTGAATCTACTTTTGAAAAAACCTGCAAGCAGCGCGAGATACAAATAGCCGATATCTGCATGAAGCATGGCGTTT